CAGATTAATATTTGTTGTACCAATTAGAAAGAACAAAAATCAAGACTTAATACCAATGATGTAGAATCACGAAGACCCAAGTGTGTTGTGTTGAATGCTATTTTAATTGTATTATTTCTATCCACACAGTTTCACATTGAAAATAGGAATCGGACTTTGAAATGACATGAAATAAACAACCCTTAATTTGTACCTAATAAGCAGCACTACAATTTATCTTATTAAAAATCTTTTATTAATTTATTCATTTGGTACAGGGTCTCATTAGGCAGCTGGGAGTCATAGTGATTTTCCTGTCTCAGCCTCCCCAGCAGTGGGATTGCAGGTGTGCATCCATGTGCCCAGTTTCAGTGGCCAGCACTACATGCAATACCAGGCATCAGATTCAGGTCCTTGTGCATTCCAGGCAGGCACTTAGACATCCAAGCCACCTCTCAACTCCAATTCTAAAATTTCTTAGAGAAATGATGTGTATCTTGCATGCCACATCCCTGAAACAGGGATGGGCAGGAACCATGGAGGGAAGTTCCTGGCACACTGGGCCCCTAGGGTCAGGTATTCATCCATCCTGAACACCGCACCCAAGAGCCTTGGTCTCTGTGGATCTGTCCTCCTAAGATTAGAAGAAGAGTGTAATGTCTGGTCTAATGAGGACCTTTGGATATTGAGTGCCAAAAAGATAAAGAGACTGTGGGAGTTAGTCAGTGAAAATGTCACATAGTTTCCCTGTTCCAGCCAGAGATAATCCTGTGTGACCAGCACACTCCTGACTCTGTAAGCCTGATTTTGCTGACTCTGCATAATCTACCTTCATTATCCAGGTAAATTGTTCAGTGTCACTCATCTTGAAGCAAAAAGGATTATGTAATCCCTTGTCAATATTTTGGAAAGGAGACTAGATGCTGTACATAATTTGGAGGAAAAGGAAGAGAAGACATGCATAAATAAGAATAGGAAAGAGCTCTTAGCTTGTGCTGTCACTTATCTCTGCCTTGACACATTTTCATGTACTAGATGTGAAAAAAGATACTGTATGTTTTAAGTTTAAAAGCCACATTGCTACCATACCTCATTAGAATCCATCCTCTCTCAAACACTCTTATTTCATCATTCTTGACACTTTTGAAGAAGTTCTAATTTCTTCCATCATAAGTGTCTTTATGAGGGGTGATAGAAATCCTTTTGTACCAATATTGTCCAATAGGAAAATATTCGTATAAGAATATTATCTTCAGTTTTCTACCTGATTTATCAGAGCTGACACTGAGAAACACTTAGATTTCCCTCAAGGACAGAATAACCATGAAGGAGAAATCACCTCAGAACTTCCATGCATCCAAGACAGCATGAGGACATACATGCGTACACTGTTTTGGAAAAGGTGCAAGAAAGAGAAGTGTATTGAAAGCACAGGGGAGCATTCCGAGATGAATTCAAGGCAGACTACCTTTTACTTTAATGATTTTTTTTTATTTATTAGAGAGAGAGAGAGAGAGAGAGAGAGAGAGAGAGAGAGAGAGAGAGAAAGAGAATGGTGTGTGTGTGTGGCTAGCATCAGCCCACCAGGGGGCGCGGCTGGCTAGCATGTGGTGCTGGGGGATCGAACCGCAGTCCCTGATGCTTTGCTAAGCTTGTTCTAAGTAGGTGCCTTAGACCACTGAGCCATCTCTCCAGCCCTTTAATGATTTTTTGAAAATGTAAACATTCACTGTATTTTTAAACAGTCATCTTACGTTTGTTAATATTCTCCAAGTTGTTGTTCTGATGGTCCCATTCCTTGTTCAAGAACAAGGCCTGTCTTTTTTTATTTCTTTTGTTTTAGAGAAGATAAAACATTAGAAACAGTAAAAAAAAATTTTTAAAGATCCAAGATGATAGCTATTTAACAGTGGATGCTATCTTGCACATTGCTTTCTTCAATGTAGTTGCTCCGTTTTCCAGATACAAGCATGTAATATAGGCCAAAATAAAAATGTTAAGCACTAATTTCTTTCTTCAGGAAAAAAACAATAGAATTTTTAAATTTTTTTATTTTATCGAGAGACAAATATCAATGAGACACTTTCCAAGTTGATTAATAGGACATTTTCAATAATTAATACCTTGCACATTGTTATCTTCTCAGCGGTCATCCATAGCACAAGAAGCAGCCAGGACATCCTGTCCAAACACTACTACTACAAATCCTTCCACTCACTAAACCAAGTGAAAGCAGCCGTACATCTATCCTAACTATTCTGTATATACAA